AACATCTCAATTCTTAGGCACTCGTACAATGATCAAATTGTGTTGCAAGTGCAGTAAAACTCGTACCAAAACTAACTGTCAACTTTTGCTATTCCTTTTGTACACAAATATTTCAGAAATGTCACTAGAAGATGACTTTAGCCATTTCTGATTCAAGTAGTAACGAGGTAGTAACGATGGAGTAACGAGGTAGTAACGATGCAGTGATAATGCATTAATGATGTAGTAACGAGGCAGTAACGATGGAGTAAAGAGGGAGTAACGATGCAGTAATGATGTAGTAACGAGGTAGTAACGATGTAGTAACGAGGTAGTAACGATGCAGTGATAATGCAGTAATGATGGAGTAACGATGGACACAAAATGTACAAGCTGAATATTGTACCAAAATTAACAAAGGCAGAAATGGAAGTTTGTGGCAGAATTCATGTTTTCCTCAGTATTCTTCACTGGGGGAGACACCAGGTATATTTTTTAAATTCATGTTTGTAAGTGTGCAAACTGCAGATTCCCAAATGTATGATGGACTTTCACGTTCTTGATCATGCGTTCTCTTTGACAGTTTTACATGGAACTTTTTTACTTCTTCTTTCTGTACTTGTGTCTAAGTGCATGCAAGGCTCTTCCTTTGAAGTGGGATGCCGGGTTGTGTGTGAGAGTTGTACGTCCATAAACATATGTTGTGTTAGATTTGAACAATGGTTTCCTGTAGTATCCAGAGTGACTATTGTACACTTGCGTCGTTGTAGACCGCACTTGTTACATCAGATGACAACTGGTGTTCTGTAAATGAAGTCACTAGTGCATTGGGACAATCAGTAACGAGAACCATTTATTGTCCTATACCAGTTGTTTTTTCGGAGTCAGGGAAATTCTGAATTCTGCCAAAACTACATTCTTGAATTTATTGGGGGGGGTTTTGTGTGTATTTAATCGAAAGTCGGAATTGCGTCAAAACTAAGTTCTTGCATTTATTGTTTTGTTTTTTAAAATTTATTCCCAGAAGAGCCCAGAAGAAAAGCAAGAGGGAACATCTGCCATGGACAGTTTGTGACGTGGTCGTGCCCCCCTGGTGGAGAGATTACGACTAACTTGTCCCCGGTTCTGGACCTCTCCCTCTCAACCTGTCCAGAAGTTGTTGTTTTTTGTAGACAATTTGGATGAATTTATTTTGTGAAGTAGGGTTTTAAGGCCAAAATTCTTTTCCACTTTGCTTTCTACGAATGTGTTTTGTTTGTGTTTGTTTTTGTTCTGTTGTCATGTAACGAGAATACAAATAATGTTCATGCTCAAAACATGAACAGACTGGGGGG